GTTTCCTTCCTGCCTTCCTTACAGTCTTGGACTTGAAACTCTGCAGCCAAAGGCTGTTCCTGGGAGAGTTTTTCTCCAGCCCAGAAGGTAACCAGGACATTGGGGGCAAAGTTGGAGCAAATAAAGGGACTCCTACTTATTATATGACTATTGCCTTCGTGCCACGTCCCTGGTCATCACATAACGTTTTGGTGGCAGAACAGTGCAGTTAATACCATTTAGGAGTGCAGTGGATAAATTGCTGGTAACAGTGGGAAAATTTGGGATGGGGTAGGATTGGGCAGGTCTTTGTTTTTAAAAGCTTTATTACACTTATGGCCTATATTATAGTTGGAATGTGCTTTCTGACATGACACAGATCACAAAATCACAATCATGAAAGCTTAATAGCCATATGCATCTGGGCTGCAAGTTACCCACCTCTGGCATAAGCTTTCATGAGTCACTTAACAATAACAGAATAATAGAGTAATAGAAGGGACCTCAGAGGTCTTCTGGTCCATCCCCCTGCTCAAACAGGAGACCCTTTACTATTCCAGACAAGTGGCTGTATAGTCCCTTATGGAGTACCAACAACCGGGGCCACAGTGGCTCACATGGTAAGATGCTGGGTCTGTGTACCGCTAAGGTCGACAGCTTGGTGGCTTGATTTCTGTGAGCAAATAAACCATGGAGGGACAAGAAAGGAGCTTCCCTGACTGCCTACTGGCATTCAGGCATCCCTCAGGTAAAGATAACACCATCCAAAAAAAATCCTTTCACAGCCACTTCGGTGATCCCTGGCTAAAATGTGCCATATGATTGATTGATTTATTGATTGATTGATAAATAAATAAATAAATAAATAAATAAATAACCAACCAACCAACCAACCAACCAACCAACCAACCAACCAACAACTTTTAAAGGCAAGCTGTTCCACTGTCAGAAAATTTCTCTTTAGTTCTAGGATGCTTCTCTCCTTGATTAATTTCTATCCATTGCTTCTTCTTCTTTGTGGCAACCCCTGAGATATTGGAGCACTACTCTCATGGTATCCCAGTTCTTCTTTTCACTAGACTAGACATACCCAATTCCTGAAACCTTTCGTCATGTTTTAGCCTCCAGCCCCCTAATCATCTTTGCTGCTTTTATTTATTTATTATTTTTATTTTGTCAAGCGATTATAAGATAACAGGTATAAGTATAAACATAGTTATGAATACATTAAATGGATACATATGAGAAAAATAAAAAGAAACAATAGGACAGGGACGGTAGGCACGTTGGTGCGCTTATGCACACCTCCTACAGATCTCTTAGGAAAGGGGTGAGGTCAATAGTAGACAGTCTAAGATTAAAGTTTTTGGGGTTTGAGGAAGAAACCACAGAGTCAGGTAGAGTATTCCAGACATTGACCTGTTGCTGAAGTCACACTCTTTCTCTTTTCTCTGCAATCTTTCCATCTTTTTTAGAACATGATGACCAAAACTGGATGCAGTATTGTAAATGTGATCTTACTAAGGCTTTAAAAAGTGGTACTAATACTTCATGTGATTTTGATTCTGTCCCTCTGTTAATGCAGCCTAGGATTACATTGGCTTTTTTGCCTGCTGCTGCACACTGCTGGCTCATATTTACAATCTACTTTTCACAGAGATAGGGCATGTAGATACATGCACATACATCTGCATACACAAAGCTATTATAGAAACAGACAAAAAGTGGTAATGGTAGAAAATGGTAAATAAAATAATTTATTTAATTAGCAATCAAACAGAAAGCATCAGATATTTTGACAATGTGCTTTAGATCTCTGTGAACCAGCTATGGGTCTCCTCTACAGTGTGGTTGTGCAAGTATTGAAAGAAGCTATGTAAAGGCTCTGCCAAAACAATTCACATTGTATATTTGATTCAACAAGGTATTGTAGCTGTGAGGTGATGGAATTTATCTCAGAAAGGCCCTGCCCAAAAGCTTCTTCCATCCATTTTAAGTGCTAGAGATAACTGTATAAAATGCTGCAAACCAAACAATTCCAGGAGGGAGATACAATCAAACTTACCACTCTCTCCAAAATCTGCATATTGCCATAAAATATCTAGTTAACATATAGACTATGACAAAAAACTTTAATCTTTATTTATTCTATGAAAAATTATGTTAAATCATTGAAAAATAGCTTAGCTGGGGTTCATCAAAAGATACTGCATAATTTAACAGAAATGAACAATCTAGTGGCAATCTACTATGAAAGAGCTTCAGCTACATAATATATTTCTGTCAAATTAACTGTAATTGAAGGTATTAGCTTATGTCAACAAACTGGGATCTGAACATAAAGATTTCCATTTCTGATCACTACAAAAACACCTACTAGGTTATAGTATTAGACTCAAGATGTATCCCAATGAGCAGAGACATGTTTTCACTATGTAAAATGCTTCATTGTACAAAAAGAATCTCAAGCTATCTAGAAAGCAGATCCAAGACTCAAAACTGTACATATTTTTCTTGCCTGTTCATTGTAACAGAGATATTTATGGACTTATGTCTATAAGTACCCCAATTTGGTCTCAAGCTCTTTGTTTATGACCTTGCCTAATCTAGCTATCACTATTGTCTTCCCAGCCTTGAGAAAGAAGCAAGATATCTGCTTGAAATGCACATAATCGTTCTGTGTAATCTGAAAACCATTGCCTCACCTGTGTTAGTTCTTACAAGCTTTCTTTTTCACCTGCTACAATGGTTGCTCTTCTTCCTTGCAATTTAAGATCAATGTTATATTTAGATCTGCACTGTAATAATTTGCAATGTAAAATCCAGATTTTAATTAAAATGCTCAATTTCTTCCATTGCTATCCTACCATGAAATACTTCATAAATGACACATTACAGATTATGACATATTTTCAGTATTCTTTTGTAAAAAGTTGTCAGAACTCTTATAATTAGATGTATAAGGGTAGGAGTAAGAGTCCAGTTCTGCCTTTGATCTTTGTTTAAATTGTCCAACTCTGTAGATAAAGAGAATAAAATAACACCAATTCCAAACTAGTGAAGATTAATCTGGATGTTACATGTCAACTGTTATATGAGGTATGCTTGCTAAGCACCTGCCTTGGAAATACCCCAAATCAATGTAGGAAGATGTATGTTTCCCTTTACTAAAAAGGTATGTTTACCCTTTTCACGTACAGGCATATGAAAAATTGCGGGCGAAATTACAGATTTGGTTCCAGACCACCACAATAAAGCAACCATTGCAATAAAATGAGTTACATGATTTTTTTTCCTAATGTACATAATTTGCCAAAGTCATGTTCACACTATACCATTAAGTGTGTAGCAGCATTGCATCTACAAAAATCAATGTACATACTTTAATTTAAAATACTTCATTGCTAAAAATGCTAATCATCATCTGAGCCTTCAGCAAGTTGTAATAGTTTACTGATGGAGAAGCTTGTAAAAATCCACAAAATCTGCGAAGTGCAATAAAGCAAAACACAGATAAAATGAGAATGCTGATAGTTCCTATTTAGAATGTGCTTCCTATGGTTCTTGAAATACAATACCACCATAAAGAACTGTAGTCATTGATAATCCCATCATCCATTTTTTTATTTTGTTACTTGCATATTTGTCTTGAACACCTGATGTCAAATAGACTATTTCCATAGGAAAAAAAATATTCCAAAATAAGCAATAACGCATGGTGATGTGCTCAGTTCAACGAACATCTGACAAATAAACTTGTCTTGTAACAACTTCTAATTGCTTACTATTTATTCTGAAATAATCAATGACACTATGTCATTTCAAAGCAAAAGGCAGACTACCTTCAAACTTAAATTAATTTGCAGATTACAGCAGATATTTATAGTTCTCTGAAACTACCAAATACATTATTAAAGATATTTTATACTCAACTGGAGCAATTTCTTAGTATCATTTTTTGTTATAAGCCTTATGAATTCAGCTGATTTCTGGGAAAGTAGACATTCAATCAGATATTTTTAAAACCATTCAGTTATTTTTAAAGTAGAAACATGCATATATAATACAAATAGGGCTGCCATTTTTTCCTCTGATTTTGTTCTTATGCTTGATCCATAGACATTTAGCTAGTGCAGATTTATTTTGTATCAGGAAAAATATAAACTGCTATGCTACATTCTTGTTATGGCACAAATAATGTAGGCTGAACAGGAAAAGATTACCACTCTAGTGGTTGACCTACAATTAGTTATTTCATTTCAATTGAGGAAGTTCTTCTCCTTCCAGAATCCACCAGATTAGATCATATAAACCAGCTCTCTTCAACCTGGCAAATGATCATTTTATAGCATGCATTTTCCTAGCAAGACTGCTTAGACTCTTCTGCATTAAAAGAAAGAAAGTAAACATGGCTCAGAGGAAGTTTATCTGAATTCTAGTACTATTCTATAGTCCAGTCCAGTGGCTCTTGGCTGTCTCTGACTATCTAATTGACAACACCAGATGCACTCTGATACAATAAGAAAAGACAATATAGAAATTTTACACATATGTTTATGTTTATGTATGTGTATATATGCATATGTAAATGTATATAGAGTCAAAACACCATAATTCCTTGCCTGTTATTTACCTCCTCATAAGCACTTTTAAAGTACAGATATGAAACCAATGGCTGGATATATTTAGAAATCAAAATTAAGAAGATGCCATAAAGAAAATCAATATGCTTAAACGAGATTTCAGAAAGTAACCTTCAGTTCAATTGTTCCATAAAGCATTCATTAAAAAAGAGAATGCAATTCATGAGAACCATCAAAAGGGAGCACTTTTGAGCCACCGAAACAGCAAAACAGGACTGAAAACTTCAATCTCCAAGCTGTAGACAACGATACCATCGCCGTATTTTATGTGCTAAAATGATCATTAAAAATTAAGCACCACATAGAAGCTGCCATTTAGAATATTAATTTACCTTTACTAATCATCTTTTTAACTTGAGGCTAAAACAGTTCACTCACCATTCATATACTCTGGCTTAGTCCATGAAATGTTAAAAGAGTCAGAGGAATATGACTGGACTTCAGGAGCTGGAACCCCTTCTGGGCCAGTGTTCATTGTTTTTACTGAAATGATTTCACTCATTGTACAGCCACCTGTAGTGCAGACCTTTGGAAAAAGAAAGAGAGACCAATATTAAAACCTGACATGAAATATATCCCCAGTGTATACGATTCAGAAAAGGAAATGTAAAGAAATCTAGTCATTTTTAAAGGTTGTTTTTTTAATCCTGCATTTATTTTTATAAATAACTCAAGGCATGAACATACTTAATGCTTCTTCTTCCTCCTAGTTTTCCCCCAACAACCTTATGAGGTAGGTTGGGGTGAGAGAGAGTGACTGGCCCAAGGTTACCCAGCTGGCTTCTATGCCTAAGGCAGGACTAGAACTCATAGTCTCTTGGTTTCTGCCTGATGCCATAAGAGCGGCCTTCATATGTTTAGTTCTCAAAGCAACACAATTTATTTCTTTATGCAGTCCTTTGTTTGTTTGTGAGGAATTAAAAGAGGAATTACAAGAGTTCATTTCAAGAGTCTTTCCCAAGATCAGGGTCCTCCAGAGAAGAAGGCTGTTATGAAGAGATCTCTGATGCTAACATGGCTGTCAACCTCCATTCAGGAATCAGAACAAAAAGAATAGGGCATTGGCATGAAAAGATGTCCTGTAGAACAGGATCAAGTATAAATCCTTCCATTCCCCACCATTCAGACAGAGCTGAAGAAGCTTCTTGGATGAGAAGCGAAACGTCTTCAAAGAAAAAACAAGAAAGTCCAGTTGTTTCCTGAAAAAGCACCTTGGAAGCAACTATGACCTGGATAACTGAAAATCTCCATAGACTCCTGTAGCACAGGATCAGTTTCTTAGATGCAAACAGGCAAAACTGAAATATCTAGTACTGTCTACAAGTCTTTCCTTGTTTCACATTTTCTAACACTCTTGTGTTTCATATTACACTGGAAGGGCATACTAAAATTTGTTTATGGAATAGGTAGAGCTGTAAACATTTCTAGATGTCTTTTTTCCCCTCCCCTCCATTAAGGTGGATATTGTTTTATTGGGTTTCTTTGGAGTAGGTGAAACAGAAAGATACTGAAACTTATGTTTCTTGACTCAGCTCACTAGGTGGCAGCACTTAGCCAATCTCAACTGATGTTGAAAAAGTATGGTTGGTATTGGAGAGGAAACTATTTCATCTACAACTGAAATTGTCTAAAAGCAAAATTCTATATGTTTTCCTTGGACTGCAGAGATAAAGGGCTTGGATCCTACGGGTCCTCGTTGTTGAAAGACCAGCTCTATCATCTTCTCTCCTTTGAGTATTTTACCTTACATTCACTTAAAATTAAAATAATGAAGAATATATGTAGCTCTGACTTCAATTGTTGGGTTCCTGGTGTTATCTAAGCTGACACTGTCACATAGTCTGATTATGAAACATCTGCAAGAAGAAAATCAAGCTCAGGGAACACCAAGAATCCAATAACTTTAAAGTATGTTATCTTAATTTGATTCTCCCTTACCCAGCATCCACTAATTTTTCTTTTCTTGTTGGAATTGTGTCTTTCAGATTGTAGGTTGAAGAGCAAAGACTGTCTTTATTGATATTCCCCTTTTGGAAACTTTACAGATGAAGAGTGGAGAAAAATGATTTAAATAAATGTACCTGCCTATTCTGCAACTCCCAATAGTTCAATGGGGCCCACTCCTAAATAGATTCAGGATCTCTATCTTGGTACATTGTTATTATTTTATATTCCTTTTTAGGTAGATACTAACTGGTGTCTCTCTGTGTGCATTTCTTCTTTCCATTTTAACATGCAAGGTAACCCCCCATTTGCCTTTGCTAATGTATCTTGAAAGAATCAAGTGAGGGACAAGGCAAGTCTTAGCAGCTTTTCAGCATTTACACACACAAGTTTTTGGCAAGCCTTACTTCACATAGTCAAAAGTTGGATTTGATGTGTTTCAGCTATACTCAATCTGTTGATGGAACACACATACCCCTCAAACTATTGACTTTGATCTCTCTCTGTGCCACTAAATTTGAACACTTTATAAATGGAAATTCATTTAACATTTATCTTTTTGCATTAAAAAATCCTGCGGTCCAAAGCATCTAAGAAGAAAGAACTGCTAGTGAAAAGTAATACATGTAATACAGCTGTTTTAAAGTTTTAGATTTGTGAGAGGAAAAACTTCATTCAAAAGAATTATAGTAAACTGATTTGCATTTTACAAGGTTCTCAACCATTTTAACAATTGTATACTGTACATTTAGGTGATGATAAACACAAAGTTTCTATATCTGAAAACAGGAGGAGATAATTTCCTTCAGATTATTATTTTTTGGTCATAGAAATGTATGTTTGTTCAAAACTTTGCCCAACTAACCTCAGCAGTAAACAGTCTTTTTCACTGATTCTCACATTCTTGGTCACACTCCCAGAGATTAGTAGATAAAAGGGCCTAAGGGTCTCTTGCATCTTATATTGCTTTTTAGGGGAATATGCTTATATGCAGACTTAAGTGCTAAGGAATGGGGAGAGGATGTCTTCACCTAAGAAATCAATATAGCAAGACAACAGACAGCTACTGAACAGTGCAACTGTTAAACCTTCAATCTTTGTGGGCCCAGACTAGAATTCCACTATGAAGGACAAGCAGAGGACAAGACAGTGTGTAAAAGGAGGCCTCTCTTGGTCTAAGAACTGAGAAGGTTTTTGAAAAAAATCTGGGGAACAAAGGTAGGAAAAGATGAAATGCATTGCTAAAGCATGGCAATAAAAGCCAGATTGTAGCATAATGCTTATATTACAGTGTTGCATATATAAGAAATTATAATTATCAAAATTCCATAAACAAAGATGTTAGAGAAGACTTAAGGAACTTGATGCTCCAGCAACTGCAGCAAGCCACATTTATACCAAAAAGATGACACGTATACATACTCACCTCCCACACACATATAGTGACATGATCAGCCTAATGCTATTAGTCTGTAGTCTGAAGAGCCATGATGGCACAGTGGTTAGATTGCAGCATTGCAGGCTACCTGCCAGGGGTTTGATCCTCACTGACTCAAGGTTGACTCACCCTTCCAACCTTCCAAGGTGCGTAAAATGAGGACCCAGATTGTTAGAAGCAACAGGATGACTCTGTAAACTGCTTAAAGAGGGCTGTAAAACATTGTGAAGCAGTATATAAGTCTAAATGCTGTTGCTATTATCACAAGTATGTATATATCAAGAATAAAACAGCTGCATTTAGAACGGATGATGAAGTGATTATCTACGTTTCATTATTTGCCCACTGCTTAATTTGTCCCCATAACTTGTTGTTTCTGGATGTATTGATGATAGCTTCGATTTTGGGAGATGTAGTCAAACACTTCCAGAGTGTAGCCATTTTTTTAAAAGTTATGCTAGCAAATTTAAGGGAGTGGCATATTGATTTGTACTCTTGCCCTGAATTGCATTTCTTTTCTTCTGAAACAGTTCTTGTGAACAACCAGTAGTCTTGGCAATGGTTAAAAAAGACACTGCCATGTATTTGAATTTAATACAGTAACAGAGTTAGAAGGGATCTTGGAGTTCTTCTAATTCAACCCCCTGTTCAAGCAGGAGACCGTATAGTGATTCTCTCAATGTATATTCCTCCTGGCATTTAAGGAGATACATTATTTTCCAGGTATACGATAACAGTTTTAGGACATTAATTAGATCACTCTCAGAACAGCCCAGAAGATGAGACCTATCCAAATGCAGTGGTGTAATAGAAATCAGAATAGTCACTGCCCAAACTCCAAGTGTATTCTGATCTCTAAAGTGAAGGGTTGGCTCTCAATCACTTCTAACAAGTGGGGAGGGCTCTCTATCTGGCCTACTTCAAGGAGAATAATTAGGTTTTAAATGCTATCCTGAACACCATCAGGGTGGGAGCTGTCTGGATCTCAAGGGAGATTAAATATGAAAGTTTAAATTCAATTGCTGGCTCCTGCAGCCCACTAGGTCTGTAGGAAGAAACAGTTTGCCATTGACTACTTCTGAAACTTGTTTTTTGAATTCTCTACTCTAGTCATGGAATTCTTGGGTGACCCCCGCATTCAAGGCACTTGGATCATCTTAATTCAATCAGGGCTGATCCTGTCTTAACTTCTGAGATAAGATCAGTTCATAAAAAATCAAAACAAAAAATCTCTCTGTGTTATGAAATTAATTTGCTGCCTCAACATTGCAACTTGAACTGTTATAAAAATCAGTGTTATGGGGGGGGGGGGAATTTCTTTTAAAAATGCAAAGGTAAGAGAACCACAATCCCATGATTATTGCACTGAAATTCTTCCCTTGTTCCTAACTTTCGTTGGTCAGGAAACTAAAAAGAAGTAACAATTTTTATTTTCATGAATATTTGTAAACTGTTCAAACTCAAGGATGGGAAAAAGTAGAATTAAGTAGCTAGAAAATTAACAAAAGATTCTGTTAACTGTTACAGTTACTATGCTAAAATAGATAAAGGCCAGATTTCAATGTGGATTTCAAGTCATAATTAATTTGAAGGTCTTTACTCAGACTTTGAATCAAAGTCTTATTGTTATTGGAAGGTAGATTATTTTCTTGTGGCATAATCTGGTACAATATTTAGAGCATTCAAGAGCATGTTGAGAAAAATGAATGCATACAGAGTGTCTACACATAAATGTAAATGTATTCATAATCAAGAACGGAATATTTTCTATGGCATTTATGAAAGCAAATGTCCTTATATAGGTATTACTATAAAATGATGAGAGTGTTTAAAACAAACAGGGGCAATCTCATGTTTATATTCAAGATATTTTCAGTTGTATCATGGAACTTAAACTGTTCTTTAATCAAAAAGCAAAAGGAAATGACTGCACAAAATAATAGCAATGACATTTAAAAGACATTTTTAAGTGTTTGTAGTTTGCAATAAATAAATTTTGTCTTCTAGTTTCACTATTGTAAGTTGCTACAGAGCAGGAGAGGGGAGAAGAGAGAGAGTTATCATCTTCCTTGATATAAGGAACAATTATCACTTTAATGACAATATTTCTGAGTATATATATAAATATCACAAATTTTTCTCTCCCAAATCTTTCTGGGAATTTTCTATCTTGAAGCTGAGAACCTACAATATGATCCTCTAATCATTGAGCTACAATTCTCATCAACCCTGACCTGGCTGAAGATACACAAAGATTACAGGTGCCACAATCCTGTTCTTCCATCAACCCATTCCAAGACAAATTCCTTGTGTGTCCAACCATACTTGGCCAATAAAGAATTCTATTCTATTCTTTCTCCAGAACTACATGAGAATTGATCTGATGAATCTTTTCCTTTTCTTTCTACAAGAAAGTTGTAATAGCAGCACCAAACAGGCTGCAGGACCTTGAAAAATAAACATCCAGAGTTCTTGGACCTAGGAATTTTAGAAAATACCGCATTTCCAAGGAGCTTTGGTTTCTTGTGGCTTAATAAGAGTAAACTGAAAATTGATTCTGAATGATGAAATAGAAAGAAAGATCATTTCTGAAGACAAGGAAGTAGAACAGATGTAAACGAGGCTTCTATTATGAGACTTGCAAATTGCAATTTGTCTGTAGGAGTTGCAGTAGTGCTTGATCAACTGTGAAACAGCTAAACTTTTAGGATAAGAGCTCTATGATATTTGCATATAAAAAAATTGGTGACATCTTGAATATTTCTTTTATAACATAAATGCAATTCCCTAAGTTCAAAACATTTTACATTATTTTTATTGGGAAAAAAGAACCAGAATGACATAATGGTTAAAGATGTTGGACAAGAAAAGGGAGCACCAGATTTTATCCCATCCTCAATCACAAAACATTTTGGATAACTTTGGGCCAGTCATTCTCTCTCAGTCCAACTATCTCACAGTGTTGCTGCTTTGAAATCAGAAAGGAAATGCTATATACACCACCTTGAGGTCTTGAATGAAAAACAGGATTCAAATCTACATTTTGTTTACTAATAATCAGGCTGGAATACACAATTCACTAATGGAAGAAATAAAATGGGGCCAATTTCTTTTCAGATTTTTGTTCCTGCTGTGATTCTTAATGCAGTGAATATTTTCTGTCTCTGTGATCCAATTTGTTTTGGGTCATAGAAGATTTGATTTTCCCCACACCTATTTTGAAACAAACATTCAATTTATTATTTTCCTTTAATGTGCTATATGAAAACTTAGCCAGTTTGGCTTCCATCACAACAGATAAAAGAAAATATAGATAACACATACAGAAGCTATCATTTGCTCAGTTGTCACATTTATTACTTTCCTCAACTTACTGCTAACTTGATGAAGTATTCAGTACCAGGGGAAAGGTCTTGTACAGTATAGTTCTGAAAAAGATCTGTAGAGTTATAAATTGCATCCCAAACTATAGATGTTTTCTCTTTCCTGGCAATGTACAGGATACAGTTATATATCATTCCATTTACTTCCTTTGGAATATCCCACCTGCAAAAAGAAGCAACATATCATTATACAACAAATAAAGAGGGCAGTGGGGAAATATATAATGTTTACTTAGAAAGTGAAAGCTAACGTGGTCATCAAGCAATTTGGGGCAAGTATTGAAGAACAAACAAAGCAACTTAGAAAACTTTTTAATATCAAATTTATAGCAGAGGTCCAAAATACTTTAACATTGTGTTTAGAGTGAAAATTATATCCTGATCATATCACAAAGCCTTCTTCCTCTATTACTATTTGCACTGAGGGTGGTGGCCATATGTAGGTTACACTGATTGCATAAAGACTAATGGAAATTAACTTGGCAAATGGTAATCAAAGATTTACAGAGCCACTATACTACTACTAATCACTTTTGTGCATTTAATCATAGTAAATGTATGTCGCAGACCTTATCTGTGATTTAATTCACTAGGATTCTTGCATAAATTGATACTATATGTGTCACAGGTAGAAAAAGGACCCATGCTTACATTCTTTAACCCTTTCTTATTGGGCTTGGTTTCCAGACTCTTCCATCATTTTGGCATCTTTTTTGAACTTGTTCCAATTTGACACTGATCATTTGAACAATGGAACCCAGAATTAGACATAGTTAACTGTAGTGCCCAGTATAAGAACTCAAGAGGAGAGTTATTACATTTGCCAAGATTGTCCCACTCCAACATTACTAAGGAAAAAGAGAGAATTTTACTTAACTGTGCTTCTAGTGTTCTAGAATCCAAAATGATCAGATCTGGCACATCCACGTGAACTGGTGGGAACTCCGTTGTAAGCACTGTGACTTGTGTACTGTTTTTGCAGCCAACCATTGTGCAAACAGAGATACAAAACTGGTATGGGGTAAAAACTTTCAAATCTACAAAAAGGGGGACAATAGACATGAGTATTAATTGGATTTAATAAAGCATTAGCAAATATTTATCTGTCACATCTCTGTACATTTTTTTCAAAAATTAGGGCACTGTAAATGTCAATTAATTACCAATCTTATAAAAAATAGTTCCTGAATCATAGTGAAAAATATAATATAGAAAATTTAATCATAAAATTAATAATAATAAGAATATGTAGCTAAAATCTGTATTTTAGGCAATATTGGGCTTCAGGTTTTAGTGACCATCACCTGGACAACAGATTTCCTGGCAATTTAGCTGGCAACTTCAGAGACATTGTAGTCAACTGGTAACTGAGTAGAGTCAGAGTTTCTATCTTTGTAGCCAAGTGTTCTGCTGCTAATTAGTCTTTAGACAAACTGGTTTCTGATTGGTGCAGTTTGGTAAGGGGTGGCCTCTCACTGGCTCTTTGTGACTGGTTCTGATTGGTTGCTTTGGTGGTATTGGTTCTTGATTGATCCTTTGCTCATGTCAGCTTCATGTCAGTTAACATCATGGAAGAGAAGGCACACCAAGACTTTCAGACAGGGATTTTCCCCAGCATTGTTTGAAGATGCTTAAGAAAAGTAAATTTATTAATTTATAATTTCTGAAGGGCTGTGCACCACAGCTTAAAGAGTTCAGGGCATCATTTGGTGATATAGGGACATTTGAAGCAGAGGTGGTATTCAGTAGGTTCTGACCAGTTCTGGAGAACCGGTAGCGGAAATTTTGAGTAGTTCAGAGAACCAGCAAATGCCACCTCTGACTGGAGATTTTACATTATCCTTCCCTTGACACGCCCACCAAGCCATGCCCACAGTACAAAATTTTGAATCCCACCACTGATTTGGAGGGTCAGAGCTTTTTTTTTTCATTCCCCCACCCCAAGGATGTTCAGGGTGGGAATGGCAGACCAGCCTCTTCTGTTCTACATTTAAAATCTCCCCTGCCAAGTCATCAATTGCTATTTTTTCCAATCTGTTTTAGAGGTGATGAAAGCTTTTAAAATTGGAGATGAGAGTAGTTTCTTCTTAGTAGTGTCTGACTCTTGTTTCTATTCATAATGCATCACAAAATTAATAACAATAACAAAAACAACAACAGCTTACTGTCACTTCAACTATTCATTTTAAATAAAACCAAAACCAAAATGAGATATTCATCTTTAAATACCAAAGAAATCAACTGATTCCTCCCCCCCGCCCCCATACAACATGATAAATAAACTACAAAAATAGGAGACAGAGATGTTAACAAGTTTCAACAGCCTAGGTTGATTTCTACCAGCAATGAACTACATGAACCACACATTTAAATCAAACCAACATCAATTACTTGCCACATCTGATCCAATTTATACAGCTTGTTGGAAATTGACCTATTCAAGTGCTTCATAATGGATCAATTGCTTCAACAGATGCAGGTAGAAACATAAATCTAAATCCTGGTCTCTCCCCTAAAACTCTAAGGTTACTGTTTGTCAAGCCCTCCTGATTATGGCTTCTTGTTTTCCATTTGCTTGATTGGATTATTTGCATAAGAGCAAATGCAGGCAATTGTGGACATGAAAAACAGATCATTCTACAATGCATTAGAAATGGTTCAGCAAAAATTATCTGGAGTTGCCTTGAAAAGAAAGGCAACTTGGTATATGAAAGTCTCATGGATTCATGTCAAATAAACTACAGTTTATTCTAAAGATCACAAGTTATATGCTATTTAACAATTGATTTTATGCCTTTCTTGGAGAAATTTCATTGATTTCAATTTACAAAGTGAACCAATAAACAATGATTTCCTTTTCACTTTCTACAGAAATTGAATATTTTATTATCTTATTACTCACACCCACATTAGTAAATTAAAATCCAGTCATTGCCCTTTTTAATCTGCAAGATATCATCTCTATCAATAGCATAGCTCATTCTATCTAAACAATTTAATATGATGACATGTTTCAGGCTTTAGTCCATACTGAAGATTTGGTTGTACACTTCCTTTACTATTTGCTTCTTTACAACCATATCTATCGCTTAACTTGAAAAGTTTACATTCAGTTTAATGTTAAGATATAATGGATGTTATACATGGCAGTGAAGTATGATGGTACTAGCATTGGTGGCCAACATATGAACTTTTTAAGGAACTGCAAGTTCTTATAAAATAGTTCTCATTTCCAACAACCTTTCTTATCTTTGCTGACAAAACGTTTTGGATAATAGTCATTGGATCTCCAGACCATTTAGGAATTTAAAAGTTAATGCTGCATTTCAAATTGGACCCAGAAATGAATTAGAAGTGAAATCAGAAGGGACTGTCATAATATGAACAACTATATATTCCCTGTCAATGCCCCTCTGGCTTACCTTTGATCAGCTGATTTCTGGGCTATTTTTAGAGGTAGCATCACTACATATAATTCGTGACTAAATGTAAAAGCAAGCCTTCAAATTACCCGCAAACTCCAAAAAGTTTGCATTAAGGAAACAGTAAACATGTTAATATAACATAATTAACAGAAGACCAAAAGTAACTTTAATAAGTAAAAACGATCTATTCTAGACTTCTATAGTCCAAGTGCCCTTGAAGAAATGTAAGTGCTTGTGAAGTTATTTCTGACAGAAGTGTGAGGAATCTATGAATTTCAAGAGCAATAGATTCTAAAGGAAAGGGATTCCCACAAATAGTTGTTCTGTACTCATTTCTCCTCCTCCTGTCATTTCTTTGCTCAATATGAGGGTTCTTTAAAGAACATTTACAAATAATCTCATGAATTAATCCAGTGAAGTAATTTCTAAGGTGCCTTGTCTTCTCAGTCTGCTGAATAGACAAGGCACCTACCAACAGTATCTCCACCAGAGGTGGTATTCAGCAAGTTTTGACCAGTTCTGCAGAACCCATAGCGGAAATCTTGAGTAGTTTGAGGAACCAGCAAATACCTCTGACTGGAGATTTTACAGTATCCTTCACCTGCTGCGCCCACCAAGCCACACCCACAGAACCAGTAGTAAAAAGTTTTGAATCCGACCACTGATCTCCCCCTTACCTAGATGAAGTGTCAGTTACCTTGCTCTTCTTCAACAATTAATATTGACAGAGAACATCTACTCCGCCACTTGAATTTGACAAAAATGAGAGACTGAATTATCTATATTGGGATAACTCTCCCCTCATCTCAAAATAAATAAAAAACCACCCTTCTCCAAATGGTTTAAAATTGATCTGCACAGCTTAGGAGGTAACCAGACTGAGACAGAAGGTGGAGTCAAATGCATCATAAATCATGAGTCCCTGTATGCTTGCAAAAGAGCTAAGTCCAGCCCACCTAGACTGCCCCCCCCCCTATCTCCTGCTGATTTCCCTTAACAGCTGGTTAGTCAGATTTTTATAGAGACCTTAAGCTTGCAGTAAGTTTTTATACTCATTTGAACTGCCTGGATCTTCTGATTTCCCCAGTGCTTGAGAAAATATAATAAAACAATTGTAAAAATAATGGGAGTGTCAGTCCTTTGAGGTTGGTAACAGATCTTAGAATATTTTTTAACGTGGTTAGAGTATTATAGCATAGTCTTGAAAGCATATCAAAGTTCATCATTTTACCTTATATAATAAAGGCAGTTAGTTTGAGATTATTTCTGCTGCTTTTTAATTTCTCAAAACTTCAGATATCTTTTCTGTAATAACTAAGCATTTCCCTCCTCCTTCTGTGATTGAAACCCACATTTCATCATGCCATCATCATCAGAGTCATTCCCATTCCCATGTTTGAAGGCAGGGCAGGTAGCAGAATAAGTCCAAAATGGAACATTAACACAAAGCTTCCCTTCTCTTGTTGCCCAACAAGATCAACTGTAGAAACAATATGCCAGGAAGCAATAACTCTTTTTTCCTGGTGATCATTGTCTAGTGAGTTTGGAGCCAATTCAAAGAAATGGCACTTGTCTGAGTTTTTCCTACAGAAAACATTTACAAACAATTTATCTAGTTAATTAATCCATATCATGTGGTAAGTGTGATTTCTGGGGAAGAAATGGAGGATTGAATATCCACAAAAAGCAAAGCTGATGACCATGGTGGAATGAAGAGCCAGTGAGTTGCTCCTCATTGGAAAACTGTATAATAGTGGTGTCCAGTGGGTTTATAGCTCTGGGAGAGGAGGAAATAAGCTTTGAAAGGATGCTAAATTCACATATTTACTTTTCTGATTACTTACATAAATAGCCTGTTAAGTTTACTTTTTTATTTAAAAAAATAAGAGTATGGATGTGGCAAAGGAAGAATAGCAAATGAATTATTCCTTCAAACTGTTTTCTAGGAACTCTTTTAAAGCTAACTTTTAAAGACACATGGAATATTGCCTTTCAGCTGGGGTCTCAGATATAAATATTAAGTTGATTATATGTTAGAAGTCGAAAGAGAAGTCACATGGTATTTCTTCCTCCAAACATCCACAAAATCTGCACACATTTCTGACAAAGAATAAAGTTCAGAGAGTGATATGAAAAGGAGAAAATGAAAAGGGCCAAATGCCTAAAAACAGTACTTTTGACATTTTGGAGAGGAAAAGAATGTACCTATTGTTCCCAGTGAATATTAGGATTATGTGTCTCAAATTGTTCTATCCCAACATAATAGGGATGTGGAAGGAACCAAGACTTCAGGGTTGTTTATACTCCAGAGGAGTCATAAGATACAATATGGGAGCTGAACTGAGAGGCTGTCAATTCATCTCCACCTGTACAGGCTTTTCCAATAGTTGTGAAGCTAAGTCAAATTGATGCACCATAGTTACATCTAAAAATTTAGCATTCACCCAAGAGTCCAAATGAACCAAGAGTTCAATCTGCAAGCTTACAGAGGTGCAAAGGCTAATAGGTATATTGTCTGGTTGCAATTGCAATTGCCTAGTATGGAGTGTTCAAGTTCCCTTTAATTGTTCAAGGACTCCCTGTGGAGTTCTTAGAAGGGGAAAGTGCAAAAT